CACCACAGGTTGTTAGGCACTTATAGTGGTATCACGCCCACTCCCGAAAGGATCGCTAGTATATGCAACGCGACAATTTCCTCCTATTACAGTATCCTTTTGTATTATCTGTTGTACAGCTGTTACACACTCCCGACTCATTTTCTACGGTGTTCGCCTAAATGTGGATGATGGTCTATGTAACGGGTCTGTGCTATTTATTCTTGGCAGGGAATTGGCCAAAGTGCCCTATGTGGCCCTGTGTGCCATCTTCAACATCTTCGGTGGCTATAGTGTAAAAGCGATCAAACGGTTCAATAACCTTCGTTCTCTTATGGTAATTGCATCCGTGCGTATGATCGTACTCAGACTCTTGATTTCAAAAAAGTACTTGTGAAAAACACTGATTTCACTAACTTTCGACTAGCCACTGGCAACCGTTTTCATGCCTATTACCAATTCGCAGTGAAGAAGCGGGACCACTTGTCCCAAGTCGCCATGTATACTCTTGAAACTGGGCAGAAATTCGCTTGGGATAAAACACGCAGTGTCGGTTCCTGCCCACATATGAAAGGCCAAGAATTCCTAGAGGCCATTCACTCTGATAATTCATGCATCAATCGACACATCGATCTTGACGCCATGTACGTAAATCTCAAAAAAAATGGAAAAGGTAATAGCCAATCAAGACATGACATCAGCCCACAGCACTAACCCATGCTCAGCCATGACAGAGCAATGTCGATTTCTTGAGCATGTTTAAATTTTAACTGTTTCTTTACACTACACGTCTGAAGACGAGTTGGGGAACCAGACTCGAAAATTTACGAAATAAAGTTTGTTAATTTTCCCAAAGGACTTATTCTTCTTCCAAATATATATGTATATATATTTGGAAAATAGGTCTGCACATGGTCAGTTAGAAGACGGACCTGACCTGAGAGGAAAGCTGGATTTTTAGAATGGATTATTACTAGCACAATGCCATCGTGCTGGTTCCATTAGTAAGCTTCCAGCACACTGGACAAGGGTTAACCGGTGGTCATATCATCTCTAGATTCACCACCAGTGGTCGTCTCGCGCGGATAATTAGTATCCGCAGTACTGCAGGAGTCTGACGGACCCGGCATGATCACAATACTACCAAGTTCAGGTAGGCAGATACTTTTATCATCAATCGACTCCACGCATTTACGATTGCTCTTTTCTATTTACTATCCACTTTTACATTTCGACTCCCAGTTAACTCTCCATATTTGGCGAATTTAATAAAACATAAGTTAAAATCCCCACCAAGTGTGCTTCAAAACAAAGTTCACAACTTGCTAAAAAAATAGAGAAAAAAAACAATTTATGATCAATGCTCAAAATAGTGTGTGCAACAGAAAGGCATTTCCTGACTGAGTCCTCGTTGTGTTTTTACGGGGGCACTTAACTCAAATTTTGATGCGGTTGTATTCACTCTTAAGTAAACACGTATATATTAACTACTTCGATGACTGGGAATGCTGAATGAGCTATCAGGAGAACCAAATAATCAAATTTATCGACGGAGGGTAAATTTCAGTCATGCGAATTAAGCATGCCTACCTTCCACCTGTGTCCACAGTTGTTACAATACACAAAAGTAGTCATAGGTTCATCGGCGCTTCTAGTTTGGACCTAAAATGAAGGCAAAAATGGAAGGATTCAACGACACTAAAACATAAAGGATCGACTCAACAAAGTACCGAAGGATAATTCACCGGGTCAAAATTGGAGGAACTGGATCAGTGAATAATAGGGACAAATTTCAATGGATCTGTGGAGGATGACGGCAGGAGAGATGGTGCAAAAACTTGGTCGTGGACCAATCAGAAGACGCATTAAGTCCTCCATTTAGTGTACTGAGCCATGCGCAGTCTGGCCAGCCCAGTGGCGATAAAGGCTGCCGCCAGAGTCTATGCGTCCTTTTACAGACACAAGGCTAGTTCTTCCACTTAAGTTGGCCATTATCATGTTTTTTTTTCTACATAGCTCAGAGGATGCACTCGAAAAGAAGTCTGGAGGGTCCTGCTAATAAGCCAGTCTTTCCTCGCTCGGGACTTCTTCCTTATCTTTAAAATACGGCCCCTCTGGGGTTTAAATATTTATAGCGACTAGCGATAACGGTATTTTCAGGTAAGCTACCAAATAAAAACACGGGAAGAGAAGTTAATTCTGCATTCAGAGGTGCAAACCAGCTCTGTGAGAAGAGAGAGATCTTTCTCCCTATCAGAGAAGATGGATCACTAAAACCACAGGCGTTTTGCCCATCCCGGCACTTTTTAGCAGCCAGTTCGAGCCCCGATGGTCTGGCAGCAGCTTCGGGAATTTATAGTAACTACGATTCCCGCAGTTGGCGATGACGAGGATGTTCGAGATTATCATCAGGGTTATGTGGTCGCTGTTTAACACGAGCATTTTTCAAGGATCTTCGGCTCCCTCAAGGTATTTTTCCTAGGTTTAAGTGGGTGACGGGCAGAAACAAGTGCAATGCATTTGTTTTCACTATTAAGGGGAACCTAAGACAGAAATTTAGACGGCGGGGTTAGGCGAAAGTGGCGTTACTTTAGCATCCCATTTAGGTACCAAAGCGTTCCTATGACCTTAGAGCCAACACTGACTTTCGTGGGACGTGAAGCCAGTCCAGTTCTATTCTGAGAAAGACCCTGTGCCTTTTTGAAGGACGAAGTACAGCCCAATCTCAAAGCAGCCCCTAGCCCTAATAAGAATGAAAAGGAATTTAAGGGAAATGTAAGACGACAGGCAAATAAGATGCTGCACTCCAGTGTTTCCTAAATGTATGGAAAATGCAACCCTGGTGCGCGTAGTAGGCAGGAAAGTCGTCTATTCTCGATATGGAGGTCTGCTGTTTAACCGATTCGGAGCCGCAGCTGTGGTTTAGCGAGCTAAAGCGAAAGTAATTAGAGAAGACGCCGCCGTCTAAGCGAGCAGCTTCGTTTAATCTGCGGAATTTTCTTTTTAGGTTCCAACGAAAACTGCTAATGACAACGGAGGTTGTATGATATATTCTTATTTCACAGTGAAAGTAATCATTGGCTTTAGATGACAGCCATCAACAACATCATCTAGACATTCCAGGGATCTGGAAACCTACCCTGTCAGAAACAAAGAGGAAACGGACGACGTCGTTGCGCCCACATGGTGAAAACAACTTTTAAATATGAAATATCGGAGTACGGTTCAAAAAGAGAAGAGAAGTTAGGAGCAACGCGTAGACAGGGAAATAAATAGGGAAGTAAGCAGAGGCGGAGTGACTTAAACATACAAAAGAATTTTAACTCACCTGATTGTATGTACACTTGTTCTGCTTACATCTACCACATTTCAGGATATCGGATTCTGTGCCACCGGTCACAGCCATCTGGTGGTCATCGATGGTCTCTTTGGTGTATTTCTCTCGTAGGTCCTTCATATCCTTGCTAGCCATCTCCTAAAAAGACAAGAAAGACTCTCAAAAAGTTGACCTTTGAGAATAGAAGGGACTGCCAGTAACTTTGACAAAATGTAGTGAGGTAACAAGACTGAAAATGAGTAAAAGGTCCTGTGTTGGACGCGAGAGTGGCGAAGCAAAACGTCAGACCTGGCCGAAATACTCCGACAGTACTGGCATCTATATTGCTGTCGTTGTGTGCCACAGCACCGATGAAGGTTAAACTACTGCGCATTAACAGCATAACAGCCTAATAACTTATATTGGGCTGAACTGTCACTCGTTCCGCGAACGCGGGTGGGAGGGGCGGCAGAAGTGTGGTAGGAACGAAAAAAGTGCAAAGAACCAGCAAACTATAAAAAGATAACCTGACCGACCGTGACAGACATTCTTATCTACTTGTGCGCACTTGTGGCATTCCTGAACATGGCTGAGTTTAATGGTATCGGAGAGCAGACAAGTTACCCTTGACAATGGTTCGGCGTTATTGAAAATTTGGTTACCGATACTTCGGAAGGAGTACCGTCGAAAACAGGGTCACAACGGTCCCCATGTGCATTTTCGGCAAAAGTTGCATTTACAGCGTCCAAAAACAACTTTTCCGGCAGTCGGTGAAAACCATGAGCCCGAAGTCCGTTCTATTTAGTGGCTCCTGTTGTAATCAAATAGTCTAAATATACAAGACTGGGTATTTGAGTAGACGGGCCACACGGCTTAAATAACGAAGACTGAAATGACTAGCTATCCGAGAATAAGCGATCGGAGGAAGTCTGCTCAGATGTACAGATGACTCTCTGAGGGCACTCAAGTAAGAATGAAGTTATTAGGCGCAAGCATCCCATTTATAAGCGTCGAGCATGCTTGAATGGTTTGGATTATAAAATACCAACAAGGAGCTTAAACAAGTGAAGGAGCCTGGATCATACCTCCCAATAAAGAGTCATGGTCAACTTACTTCGAATTTCAGCAAAGCAATGACTACAATCACACTTCAATCACCACAACTAGTGTCTTCGTCAGTAGTTTTTGCACCGAGTCGATCATAATGATCGAGGTACCACTTGTGCAGCAGTCATGCTTGTTGTGGAATGTCAGTGTGTGAAAACTAAGCAGTCGAGGTGAGGGGTAAATTACAGAGGACGGGGTCACACACCCAACAGGTCATAACCAACAGTGTACTGGATTTTGGCCTCGTCAATCGGAAAACCGATGATGTCCAGCCCGAGGAGTGAGGTATGGCGGCACTATGGTGTGGCGACCTCTAACTACCACGATGCAGACGTTATAGCAGATTTTCGGCGAGCAGTCGTCCCTGTTCAACACTTGATTTCAATGCCTACAGCTACGGAAACGGGAATCCGACGATTTCATCACGTATACGGGCATTGTCAATCGTGAGCGTGGGCGTTTTTAACTCGGTTCTCTCACTGAAGACGAGTTTAAATGCCTCATATATATCTGCGACCTCCAGTCCCCCAAGGATGCTGATATCCGGACATGTCTCCTGTCTAAAGTGCAGCAGAACAACTCAATCACACTCCAAGAGATGGCGGCGGGGTGTCAAACGCTGATTCACCTCAAGCACGACTCCGCCCTGATCCAGAACCCTGCCAAATCCTGCTCAGTCCATTCGGTCACAGTGGTTAAATTGCATCCAGTTACGCGGCCTAAACAAGTGCCATCTCCACGACAACACCGTGACGCGTGGCGTTTCCGCCGGGATTTTACCTTCGCCAGAATCGCTGCCAAAGCTGTAACCGGGTGGGACACAAACCGGGTGGGTTCTGCAAATCAACAACAGCTTGCGGAAGCAAGCCCGCCCCCGCGACTTCTAATTCCAAGACCCCGTTTCCGGTCAAAACGCAAGTCCCAACTCCGGTCTGTTAGAAATTCTCTCAGTCTCTTTGCTACTTCCCAGCCCAATGCGGCTGATCGTAGAAAGTTTGTTGACGTTCTGCGCAATGGCCGCGCAGTCCGCCTACAGTTGGACAATGCCTCAGACATCACCATCATCTCTGAGAGACTTTGGCAATCCCTTGGCAGCCCCGCAATGCAGCAGACTTACCAGTCCACCACAGATGCGTGTGGTGGTCTCATCAAGCTAGTGGGGCAACTGAAATGCCGTGTTTCGTTCCGCGGCACTACCATCACTGCAATCTGCTACGTCACTAAGTCTGACCTCAACCTACTTGGTCTTGACTGGATTGAACAACTTGGTTTGGCCGACATGCCGCGCCGCGCTGTTTCCAGTCGGGTGCAGATTGCCGCGGTGCTTGCAGGCCAAGCCAAGGACATTCTCCCACAGTTTGCTCCAGTGTTCCAAGACGGCCTGGGTCGTTGCACATACACTCAAGTCGTGCTGCATCTGTCTCCTAGAAGCCAAGCAGTCTTCCACCCAAAGCGGCCAGTCTCATATACAGTCTTGCCACTTGTCGAGGTTAGACTGAAGCGTCTAAAGGAAGTGGGAGTTCAAGTTCCTGTATCCTACTCCGCCTAGGTCGCTCCAATCGTTGTGGTTAAGAAGCCCGATGGTTCAATCCGCATTTGTGTCGACTTCTTCACCGGTCTCAATGCCGCGCTGACGTCCAACTGCTATCCACTGCCGGTTCCAGCTGACATTTTTACCCTGCTGAACTGTGGCACTTGCTTTGCCATGTTGAATCTCGCTGATGCGTACTTGCAGATCGAGGTCGCCCCGAAGTCGCGCGAATTGTTGACCATCAACACCCACTGCGGTCTGTGCCAGTACACCAGGCTGCACTGGTGTTAAGACTGTCCCAGCTTTATTCCAACAAACGATGAACGCAATGTTCTCCGGTATCCCTGGCACAGATGGGTACCTGGACGACATAATCTTCGGTTGCTCCCCTGTTGAGCTGCAAGACCGAGTGTGTGCAGTACTCGAACGCGTGCGGGAATATAACTTCGGCATGCGGGCCGACAAGTGTCAATTCTTCCTCGGATTCGTTTTTGACCTCACTGGTCGCCATTCAGATCCCGAATACATTTTTGCCATCCAACGGATGTCTGCACCTGGCCTTCGCCCAACTGAAGTCGATGCTGAGTTCAGATCTGTTGCCCACCCACTACGATCAGACGCTGCCGATTGCTGTTGCTGCAGATGATTCCAACCACGGAGTTGGTGGTGTCATCTCACAAACTTCTTCTGACGGGTCTGAAAAAGTGATCATGAATGCATTTTTCACACTAACTCCTGTGGAGAAGAACTACGGGGAAATAGAGAAAGAACCACTAGTCCTTGTGTTTGCCGTCAAGAAGTTCCACAAACTGTTGTATGGTTGTCACTTCACGCTGTTGATGGATCATAAACCGTTGCTGTCAATCTTCGGTCCAAAGGAGGGCGTTCTTGTCAATTCAGTCAACCGACTTCAACGATGGGCAATCATTCTTCTCGATTATGCTTTCGACATTCGTTACTGCTGCACTGCCGACTTTGGTCAGGCAAACGCACTCTCTCATCTGAGGAAGACATCGTGGTTGACGTTATTTCGATTGAGGACGCTGTGCGCCGCCAACTCTCAGACGCTATACGAGGTATACCTATCACTGCCGCGGACATCCGACGTGCTACTGAACAGGATCCTGTCTTCCGTGAGGCTATCACCTACGTGCCGACCTACTGGCCAACCACTGCTCTCGCTAGAGATTTTCACCAGCTCTTTCTGCGCCGAGCATTGTTATCTGTGATTGATTCCTGTCTAATCTTTGCGGACCGTGTGGTGATCCCATCTTCTCTTCGACCTGCTGTACTACACCAATTTCATGCGGCGCATCCTGGTACAAGCCAAATGAAGTCAATAGCTCGTAGTTTTGCTTACTGGCCGGGTATCGACAGCGACATCGACGACCTGATTCAACGCTGTTCCCGATATCAACAAACTGCCAAGATGCCGCTTCGTCAACCACAAATACCCTGGCAACCACCGGAGAGGCCTTGGGTGCGTGTGCATATCAATTTCGCTGGCCCACTTAACGGAGTCTCATATCTGATCTTGGCTGACGCCTACTCGAAGTGGACAGAGATTGCTCCGCTGAATCCAGCGACCGCATCTGCCACTATGGCTTTCTTACGACGCATCTTAAGCCAGCATGACATACCGGAAGTCTTGGTTTCGGATGATGGGTCCCAGTGTACTTCATCGACGGTTGAGAATTTCTTTCGCCAGCATAACATCCAGCATCTTCGCTCCCCGCCCTACCACCCTCAGTTTAACGTTCAGGCGGAGCGTTCTGTCGACACGTCTAAGAGAGCCCACTTGAAAGCTCGTGGGGAGGGGACCACGGACAAGATAGTCTATATGTTTCTGCTTTTCTAAAGGACAATTTCAAACCCGGCATCCCTTGTAACGTTTCTCCTGCCGAAGTTTTGGTGGGCCGAAAACTGTATGTTTCATGCACTCGTTCCTACCGGTGCGCAGCCCACACAGACTTCACTTGTGTCTCGCAACAAGCTTTCTGTCGGAACGCCTGCCTTTGTTCGTGATTATCGAGTTGGGTTTCCAGACTGGATTGAGACAACCGTAGTAGCGCACAGAGGCAGTATACTGTTTGACGTCGGCGTTGGTGATGACATCCGGGTTCGTCACCACAGTCAGATCCGACGGCGGGCAACACAACCGGGCTCGACTCAGTGACGTCACTCCCTCCCGACATCATACTGGATACTTTCGCCATTCCGACAGATCAGTCGGCTCCCTGTTGCGCCTACTTGGGGTATACCGCCTTCGGAGTCAATCCCTGTCCCCACTTTTCCAGATAACAAACCACAACTAAGACGCCGGGCAAGCACTGCCGATGCAGGTCAATCCACGCCAGAAGCAATTCTAACCTTCTTGGAGGGGAGGTGTTGGGAGTGCCTACACTCCCAAGAACAAGAGCCAGCCGGTCACTGGAGGTCACGAGCTGACCTCGAAAGGTACTGAAGATGAAGTGACTGCAAACGATCGCCGACGACTGGATCCCGAAAAGAGATGGTGTACCAAAGATTCATGCAGTATAAAGGCGGGTTCAAACTCGGTGGTGCGGTCAAGTCATGCATACGGCTGATGAACGCCTGCCTAGGCGTACTGTGTGGACTGAGTTGGGACGTCAGTAGGCTGCGGACGCGGCGAGTGTAGGTTGGTGCTCCAGGCACTGGTTAGCCAGTCTCTGTGGGATGGATTCCCAAGTGACCGACCAGGCCGGTGTGTGAGATGGAGATGCGATCGCAATGTGGACAAATATAGACCCGGTCCTCGTCATTGGTGTTGACGGTGGTGGTGTTGGCGTGTCAGGATTGTGTGTAGTGTTGATGGGCACAGTAGATGCCACAGCGGCAGACGTTGGGGTGGTGGTAGTGA